ATGTAATATCTGCCGAAATTGCTCAAAGGAGAAGTTCAAAAAGCAGACATTTTAAGCGACAAATGTATGGAGCTGTTGTAGGACACTTTTTCCATATATACAGATGTATAAGATAGTTCAGCCGATCAGTAAATGTAAACAGAAATTTGCTATCTAAAATAATCAAAGATGGAATCAATACCAAAAGAAACACCGCAAAAGACTTGCACACACCCATAAGGAATCAGTATTGTTAATTTTGGAAAGAGATTATAACAGACGAATTCAGCCTGGAAAAAAAGATGCAGTTAAAACAGTAGAAGGTAAAGTCCAGTGTAGGGTTTTGACAGACTACATTGCCAGCCTCAACGAAATGTTCCTTTCAGAAAATCCTCACACTCACTTTCAATGTTTAGACACATGCGACCAAAACACATACTGACGACGACATTTCTGAGACGCAACACTTGCCTCTGCACAAAACAGAACTTTGCTTTAAAGTTAAAGATGATGAAGAATTATGTATAGTTACAACAAGTAATCCTGATGAATTTGTCAAACAACAGAGCGCAATCAATTCAGAAGGAAAGTTTTCCAGAGAATATGGCATATTCTTTGTGGAAGAGAGTAGAAATGCAAGATGGTAAAAAGAGAATGAAGATAGTGAAAGAAGAAGTTGAAAGACAACGTTTGGGTGATATGGGAGACAGAGCTGAAAGATTTCAAGGAACATGTTTTCCGGATTCAGACACAATACAAAATGAGCAGGGAGTTGAAAGAAAAGATGCCATTAAACGAAGTGTACATACACATGGATTTTGCAGAAAATTATTCTTGCAAGTCAGCTGAAAAAAACTAGAACTGTCCAAACGGGACAAAATACCTCCGCTGGGTTTTTCAGAAGCACGTTTTTCCATGATAAAGATATGTATCACACATGAATTCAATTTCCCCAAATGACCTAGGTTCAAGGTCATGACATATCCTTAGGTAATGGGCAATCTTTGCATGAAATGAGAACATACCAAGTTTATCCATAAAAAAGATGCGGACCGGACACGAATTATGAAATTTTTCTTCCAGGGACCTTGAACTTCCCCAAATGACCTTGGGTCAAGGTCAAGACATACCCGTGGTTCATGAGCAATCTTTGTGTAAAAAGAGAACCTACCAAGTTTATCCATAAGAAAGATATCGACCGGACAAGAATTATGAAAATTTTCTTCTAGTGACCTTGAAGTTCCCGAAATGACCTTGGGTCAAGGTCATGACACACCCTTAGGTCATGGGCAATATTTGTGTGGAGTAGGAGATTCTAATGTCCCTCCGTAAGAAAGATATGGACCGGACACGTTTGCACAGACAGACGAACAGAGATAGGTGATTCCTATTTACCCCCCAAACTTCCTTTACGGGGAGTATAAAATACATCATTATTTATGTTCAAGTCTTAAATGTACAGTAAAAAGTTTAATGCCCCCTTTTTAGGTCAGCTAGTGGAAAGATTTTAAACAAGAGGCCCACGGGCCTTATAGGTCACCTGAGCATCATGCAACAACTTTCAAATGATTGAATTTGGTTCATGTTTCTAGCTAGATGCTATGGCATTCACAATTCTAAAAGAGGCACCAATGCTAATCATAACTATACACTTAGCAATTGTTTAGTTTGTTTACTTAATACCCATAAGCAGGGCATGGGAACAAAAAATGCATTTCAACTAATCAGTAATATTCAGCAATAATCATAAGTGCCCCTATCACACAGGAGCCCCTGACCCTAGGCATACACATTGCATAATTTTTGGAAAGGCACACTTGCTTATCAAAAATGTTTGATTAATATAAGGATCAGATTTCAAACAATTTATTTTCAGTTTATAAGTAGAGCCCCCCCCCCCCCCCTCTTCAGTATCCCTGACACAGGGGCCTTGAAATTTATAATTCTGGAGAAAGAGCCCTTGCACATCAAAACTATATAGGTAGTACATCTGTTTATTACCCAGGAGTAGAGAAAAAGATTTTCATAGACGTAATGTATTTTCACTACATAATCATTACAGAGCCACTCCATAACACCATTACCCCCTGACCATTGGGCCATAAAATTCACAATTTTGGTAGAAGCATTCTTGCTCATCATAACTATGTACTTAGTTAATTTATTTAATAAGTAAGAGCAGATAAGAAGATTTTCAAAGAAATAATGTAATTTTACTATATAATCAATAGAGCCCCACCCTAACCTCTGACCCTGGGACCATTAAATTCAAAATTTTGGAAGAGGCACTCTTGCTCATGATAAATTTTTATTTAGTCGGTTTATTTAACACAGAAGAAGCAGAGAAGATTTTCAAAGAATAAATGCATTTTCACTATATAAACAACAGAGCCCCACCCAACACCAGAACCCCTGACACTGGGGCCATAAAATTCAAAATTTTGGTAGAGGCACTCTTGCTCATCATAACTATGTACTTAGTTAGTTTATTTAATACCAAGGAGTAGAGAAGAAGATTTTCAAAGATTTAATGCACTTTCACTATATAATCAATAGAGCCCCGCCCTAACACCAGAACCCCTAAACCTGGGGCCATGAATTTCACAACTTTGGTAGAGGCACTCTTGCTCATCACAACTATGTACTTAATTAGTTTATTTAATACTCAGGAACACAGAAGAAGATTTTTAAAGAAATAATGCATTTTCACTATATAAAGAATATTTTTAATGATTGCACTAATTTTAGTGGTTTTGGCCCCACCCCTAGGCCCCAGGGGGGCAGGGACAATGAAATTCAAAATTTTCGTTCCCCTTCACCTACAGATGCTATATGCCAAAATTGGTTGAAATTGGTTCAGTGGTTTCAGAGAAGAAGCTGAAAATGTTTATATGTTAACGCACGACGAACGACGCACGTCGCACGACGAACGCCGACAAAAAAAACGGATAGCAATAGGTCACTCAGGTGACCTAAAAAAAATAATAAAGCATGACGACCAACTTAGATTAGTTATAGTTTTGAACCAAAGAAATGAGAAGGCAGGAACAAGGCATTTTCTTCATAAAAATGAACGTTATTTTAATAGTGGCTGCAAATGTACTTGGACTTGAAATGCACTTTCAACCACTATTAAAATAAACAAGAGGCCCACGGGCCTTATAGGTCACCTGAGCATCATGCAACAACTTTCAAATGATTGAATTTGGTTCATGTTTTAAGCTAGATGCTATTGCATTCACGATTTTGAAAGAGGCACCAATGCTTATCATAACTATACACTTAGCAATTGTTTAGTTTGTTTACTTAATACCCATAAGCAGGGTAGGGGAACAAAAATGTATGTCAACTAATCAGTAATAATCAGCGATAATCAGGAGTGCTCCTACCACACATGAACTCCTGACCCTTGGTCTACACATTGCACAATTTTTGAAAAGGCACACTCGCTTATCAAAAATGTTTGATTAATACCAAGGAGTATATTTCATTTTCAGTAAATAAGTAGAGCCCCCCCCCCCCCCCCCCCCCCCCCCCCCCCCCCAATTTTGGTATCCCTGACCCAGGGGCCATGAAATTCACAATTCTGGAAGAAGAGCCCATCATAAATATGTAAATAGTTCATCTGCTTATTACCCAGAAGTAGAGAAAAAGATTTTCATAGATGTAATGCATTTTCACTATATAATCAATAGAGCCCCGCCCTAACACCAAAACCCCTGACCCTGGGGCAATAAAATTCACAATTTATGTAGAGACACTCTTGCTCATCATAATTATGTACTTAATTAGTTTATTTAATACTCAGGAACACAGAAGAAGATTTTCAAAGAAATAATGCATTTTCACTAATATATAATCAATAGAGCCCCGCCCTAACACCATAATCCCTGACCCTGGGGCCATAAATTTCACAATGTTGGTAGAGGCGCTCTTGCTCATCATAACTATGAACTTAATTTGTTTATTTAATACCCAGGAGCAGAGAAGATTTTCAAAGAATTAAGGCTTTTTCACTATATAATCAATAGAGCCCCGCCCTAACACCAGAACCTCTGACCATGGGGCAATGAATTTCACAATTTTGGTAAAGGACTCAATGCTGATTACAATCATACCAACAGTTTGACTGCTTGATGTCCGGGAGTAAAGAAGAAGATTTTTAAAGATTGCACTAATTTTAGTGGTTTTTGCCCCACCCCCCAGGCCCCAGGGGGGCAGGGACCACGAAATTCACAATTTTTGTTCCCCTTCACCCATAGATGCTTTATGCCAAAATTGGTTGAAATTGGTTCAGCGGTTTCAGAGAAGAAGCTGAAAATGTTCAAATGTTAAGGCACGACGAACGACGACGGACGAAAACAGATAGCAATAGGTCACCTGAGTTTACTCAGGTGACCTAATTATTTCAATAATGAATGTTATTTCAAAAATGGTTACAACCTGTGTTTGGTTTTGAAAGGCACATTTAACCACTATTGAAATAATCATTGTAGTACAAAGTGGGCGGTATTTCAAAGGTGGTTGCAATACTTCTTCTTCAGGACTTATTACAAGTTGGATTTTTCAAAAAATGGAAATCAAGTTGAGTTTTTAACCAATCACTCCTACATTATTTTTAAAAGATCCATTTCTCTTTTGGTAAAGATAACCCGTGCGATCTTTAAAACGTCTAAATTACAGATCCTGCTGAAGTGACAACATCATCGAAAATGATCAAACCAGGTTCAAATAATAATTTATAATGCCCAAAATTTCTAAGAATGTTGACCAAATCTGCACATTGTTTCTTACAAATATCGATATTATTGTACTTTGAAACAAAATCTATATAATCAAGTGCTTTAACTTGTCTTCAATTTAACGCACTAAGAAAAAATCAAAATGCATTATAACAAACCATGTTGTCAATAATTGGAATTTGCAGGGCACTATCTGTAAATGCGCATTATTGCTTCGAGTATTGTCCTTTTCGTGGTTTATGATATATCAGGAATATGAAGAGAAAACATTAGATGATAAACAAACATCAATTTTATTAACAAAATATAAAATGCAAACATAAAGCAAAATAAACCAACATGGAATCATTCAATATAAGGACATCCTTAATATTTTACATTACCGATATAATTGTTCAAAACATATTTGTTTGAGAATTTTGAATTAATATGTGAATTATGGAATTATGTAAAAAAAAAAAAAAATTAAATCAATAATATTTTGTTCTTAATCTTATTTCTTATACATGTATAATAAAACACATTTTGAAATGAATAAACAATATGACAAAAGCATGGTTTATCCGAGATTCATTTTTCATGTCAAATAAGATTAGATCTGGCAGAAAAAAATATGTATTACAAAAAAGACTGAGGTAAAAAGTTACTGGAAATTTTAAAACATTGTTCAAAGGCAAGTACAAAATAATAACAATGGTTCGCATTAAAAATAATGTAACCTTTAAATCACAGCCGGAGATTTTTATAAAAATAATAAAAGCACTCTTCCTTCACCGAAACACATACAGGATATACTCTCGATTACACTTTCGTAGGCATTACGGATCAGTTTACTTGGAACAACAAGAACGGGCGCAGCATTGCTCAGTGAAGTCCTGATCGTATCCCATTGGAACCTCTGTAGATTTCCCTGTGTCGTCATCATATTTCTTACACGTGGAAAAGGGCGGGGAATAAAGGTGTAAAGTAACAGCGCCATTTACGTGACTTTTATTTCCAACTCGGTGAAGTCCGTCTGCGTCTATATAAATGTAAAGTATATATTATTTTAGAGTAGTAAATTAGACCCCTTATATTTGTAGACTCATTACATAAAGGTAGCCTATTTCTAATTTACGAGGAAATTGTTTCCGTTGACACACACAATAAAAAAAATCTTCAAAATTTAAGAATTTATTTTACAAAACTCTTTTCCTTTCAATTATTTATTTATAGGAATTGTCTTTTGTGTGTGATTAACTTCAAGAACTTGTTAGAAATAATTTTATTTTTTGTATATTGTGCCCTAATATTGCCTGGTGATTTTTAAATCGAATCTTAAAAAAAACACATACCAGTGATATGGGCCACGTCATTAAGTTTGTACACCCTGTCATCTATTTTCTCCATTTTGCATCCACAACAGCTCTCACATGGCGTCATGTCCGGATTTTTATACAATTCCTCGAACACTTCTCCCTTCAGAGTCTTCATGAAGCAGTGGGAGTTTGGGTGGTTATGTATGGGGCTTTCCTGACCAGTGTTCCAACACAGAATCATCAGATTATAATGACCATTCCCTTTGTCCAGCAGGGTCCGCGTGTATCTGTAAAGTAAAGAATGGGTTCGTCAAAAAAGAGAGGGAATTTTGATCATCACATATTTAAGAAAAAATGCCTGTTTTTTCCGTTTTAACTTTTTAATAAAAGCCTCTGTGTGTCATCCTCATTTTGCATTTATTAACAATTTTTTTTACAATACGGTATTTAATCTTGAAGCAAAAAGCAAAGACATTTTGATTCATAAACTATATAATTAAGTTATTTTCAGGCTAACATTGATATTTTCAAAATATCAATTATTTTCAAAATATCAATTATGAAATCGAAATTTGAAAAGGTCAGTTAGAAGTGATTTTAATGGGGTAATGTTATTACATCTTACCATTCGATTTAAAGTTAAAAAAAATATGATCAGAATAAAAAAAATCATAAATACAATTATTTTATGAGCATATTAGAAATTCACATATGTTAAACAATCTCTTAACCATATATATTTAAAAATATGAAAATTAAAAAGTAACACAAATGGATATCATATATATTTACTTTTTTTTCAAAAAGTAATCCACACTCTTTTAAGGCTAGGGTTTATACTTTTAAAATATATATTTTTAACAAGAATTTAAGTCTTATTTTTTATATTAAAATGGATATTTTAAACAAGAATTTATTTCAAAAATATTTTTGTAAAAAAAAAATCAAAAGTTTGAAAAAGAAAATTTGATCTTACTTTTTATCACTCCAGGTTTCCTTATCTTGCCAGTCTTTGGGCTGACTTTTATACCTAGCCATCAGTTCTTTAATCTTCTCTACAGACTCTTCCTCTAATCCGAACGGCAGCAACTTTCTCAGATCAGCCTGTAGATTTGTCAAGTTGTAATGTTCCATTGTTTTTAATCCGCGTAAATGTAGTAGAATTCACGAAGGATTCAAAACCAAGTGTCAGGTCTGAATAAAAACTACTAACTGGGTACCTCCTGTCTTATACACACTAGTAGAAGTCAGTATTTTTTTTTGTTATTTGTTTTTATTTATAGGTTCATGGGTCGACTTCTTGGAAATGTGTACATGGTCGTAATAATACAAGTCATGTACTTTCGTTTCTCGGTTTCATAATGCAGGAGTTTTGATGCAATGATTATGAATTGTTTTGGCACGACAGTTATGAATAAGTAACAAACATATTATTATTATATATGTTGTAAATTAAATGTCGAATTAGATGGAAAGGAAATCAACAATATATATTAATATGTCAATTTGTTTAGCCTACACAAGGTTTCATTAGAATTCCAAGAAGAAATGATAAAATATAATTTTGTTATTAGTACGTCTAAAAAAAAATTGGGATTATCATTAAATTATCCACGTTTAAAAAAATATTTTTTATTAAGTAAATGCTAAATCTATATTTAAAAAAAAACCAACTAACATTTCATTAATGTTGAACCATAAGATTAAGAACAACTAAACCCCTGTAGATAATCTGGAATTTAGTTCCCCTGTACTTATTTAACCCCTGAGGAACAGGTCAGAGCTGCGTTATCTTTTTGTGGAGATTACGACCTGGATTTTAAATGTTTCGATTGACCGTGTTTACTGGAACGTAAAATTCATTTAAATAAAAGTTGACAACAGAGACGTCCATATACTTCACGTCCATAAACTTCACTCAAAATTACCTAGGAGCGTCCCATAAAATGCTAATATATATCTAATCTACTTGTTTTCTTTTTCGAGAACAAGTCAGTATATAATATGTAATGTAGTTTCTCGTACAGTTCATGTATTAGAATAAAAAAAAAACCTACTTTCGGTTTTCGTTTACTGACACATGGAATACCGATAACGTGTTTGTGTACAGGTTATAAATAGGATTAAATAATATGCACATTTATCACGCTTGTGGTATTTTTTTTCTTTCTATTTAAACATTCATACAGAAGACTTTTCTTTTCCTTAAATTGCGTGTAAGGCATACTCCTGAGATATTGTTTGTAGTTTAAAGTTATAAAACAAAAACGGTAAAAAGAATGAAAAGACGGATTAACTATTTTTATAAAAATAAGATTCGTTTGATTTTAGGTTGTTTTCTAAGATTATTTTTCTGATATGAACATGTTATTCTCTTGGAATTCAAATTTCTATTTCTACTTATCGTATGTGTTAAATATTTAAATAAGAATCTGTATAGTATTTATTTATAAAATACCTTTATTCAGATGATTAGCCTTTTTCTTGTTTGGATATCTATAATTTGAAGGGCAGAATTTTTAATAAACGTTATGTTTGTAATGAAAACAGAATTTTGTTTAACGGTTGGAAAAATGTTTAGGAATAATTTTTTTTTCATCTAATCGCATTTCTATGAAAGAGATCAAAAAGCTAAATCTAATCACAGAGACATATTATTAACTGTACACTCTCTTGATAGATCGAAATATTCAACTTGTTTTAAACTTGCAAGATTCTTTTGTCTGAAATAATACGGGCATACAAATCAACACTGCTTTTCGTGTAAGAAACAGAAACTACTGGTAAAGATATGACTTGTTTTATTTCTGTTTCATTTTGGAGATAAATTTTAATTATTTGTATTCTTATTATAGTAATTTTTTATCAATAGTATTCTTGTCATAGTATATCGAGCAGTATTGTTAATTTTACCATTTTAACACTGTTAAAAAAATCTATATATGTTAAAAATAAAGTTACAAACACTAGTACTTCTTTAAGCGAATATTTTAAATGATTCCAAAGAGAAATGTAGTGTTTGTACAAAAATCGGACAATGTGGAGCGTTTATTATTAAGAAAATTAAAGTCACATACCAATATTTTTCCGCGTATTACTATATTTCAGTATCTACGCAAGGCGTATTTAGAAGAAAATATTTTCTGGTATTTGACTAGATGATATATTTGAAGTATATTAGCTGATATATTTTTTATTTAAAAAAATGTAAAGAATTGAAGATTTCATATATTTTTTCTTTCACAATTATTATACCTTTTTAAACAGAAATGATTGAATTTGATTTCAATCAGGGAATAAATCATTTTTTTAAAAGAGTTTTGATACAATGATTATAAATTGTTTTGGCATGACAGCTATGAATAAATAACAAAAAATATCATTATCTTGTATGTTGCGAAATAAATATCGAATTTTATGTGTGGGGCGTTTATGTTGTAAATTTCAGAAAGTTGGACGAAACAATTAAAGTCGCATACCAATATTTTCCTTGAAGATATCTTTTTTTCCTTTAACCATTATTACAGTGTATACACTTTCAAACAGAAATGATTGAATTTGAATTCAATCAGGGACTAAATATTTTTGTGGAATGGTGGCGTATGAAAGTTAAGTATATTTCCTATTTTAGTTACTTATTAAAATTACTACTAAATAATACATTTACTTTCAAATTTGAAAAAAATCTAATTTTCTGATGTTACGTAACCATAAGTTAAGAATTAAAGTTAAAAAATATATATCAAATAATTTAATAACTCTTAACTCTATTACCAGAGCTCATACCTTCTCTTCAAGGAATACACTTTGTATAATTTGATGTCCCTAAATTACATTATTATTGAACAAAAGTAATTATTCTTTTTTAAACATCGACTTTCATTTTCGGTGAGTAAGGTGGTGATTCCCGTTAGCAGATCTAAGTTCGCTTCGTGATCGGGAGGCCCGGGTTCGATTCTCGATCGCGGCGCCGCGTCATACCTAAGACGTAAACATAGGTAGTGACTGTTCCTTCGCCAAGCGCTCGGCACTAGAAGTGAAAGTCACGGGTCTTTCGGATATGACCTTAAAAACGTAGGTCCCGTGTCACGGTAGGCGTTGGCACGATAAAGAACCCTCACTGCTCAATGGCCCTGAGTGCCGAGTATAGGTCTAAATTTTGAAGCCCTTCACCGGCATCGGTGACGTCTCCATATGAGTGAAAAATTCTCAAGAGGGACGTTAAACAATATACAATCAATCAATCAATCTAAGTTCCAGATATTTTGTAAGGAAAGTGTTTTATAATTTCATTAAAGGTAATTGATGAATTATTCATTAGAATCTTGATTTACACGAAATAAAAGAATCAAGTTATAATTACTGTACCAGTACTGATTAAAAGGCAGTATTTGCAAAGTCTTTTCTATATGACTTTTTTCTAATTACAGCAAGATAGAAATTTCTTTTTATATTCATAGTACAAGTCTTTAAATTCTCTTGCCCCTTTCTATTTCTCCTTATTTCTTCTAACATATTAACTGTCAGATTTCCCAATACTTAAAAGCTGAAGGTTTCGTCACAGGTCAACATATCCAAAAAATTTAATTTTACAATAACTCAAAAACTATGTGAGGCATAATGTTCAAACTTAAACAGTTTATAAATTTTTCATTGATTAACAGATAGAAAGTATCAATTGATAAAAAAAATAATTGGAAAAAATATTTAAATTGAGAAGAAATCTTTTTAAAAAGGAATATTTTTTTTTCAGAAAATGCACTTAATTAATTCCGTGCTTTTAGTGAAAACCATCACTGCAGAAACAAAATAAGTTTATCAATGAACTGCAAGTTCGACTTTGATAGTCTCTGGAAAGTTGTTTTCCCTGTTTATTTTGTCCAAATGTTAAGACTTGAAAGCGAAAATGCATTGCAAATGGCGGTTACTACAGGGGTATTATCTTTTTACATGTCATGCTTTCAATAACAGCCTTTCAGAAACCATTCATGTCCAACTTGCCCTTCCATGATAAACATATATTATTTCTGCAATGATTGTTTTCACAAAAAGGACAGAATTAAGCAGGTGCATTTGTCTTTAAATATGCACATTTTCGGATCAATTTTTCTCAAAAAATATCTGTTTAAAAATATTTATCAAGTGATTCTTTCTATCTATTAATCAATGATATATTCATGAACTGTAAACATTTTGACTTCATACCGCACATATAGTTTTGGAGCCATTGTGAAAATAATTTTAGAAATTGTTGACCTTTGACGAAACCTTTAAGCAACGTAATTTTTAACATAATTTGCTTCAAATGTAGTAAGGGGAGGGGGATTCTTTAAACTCTTTCGACCCCAGGCACGGCGCAGTGGTCACCGGGGAGGAAGAAGTAGATGTTGTTCCACTAATACAGCTTATATAATTACAGATAATGATTAATTGTACATTATTTAACATCCCTTTCGAGAATTTTTCACTCATATGGAGGCTTCACCACTTTCCTGCGGAGAGCTGCAAATTCTGTCATATACTCGGCACTTTGGGCCATAGATCATAGAGGGATCTTTTTCGTTCCAGCACTTCCTACGACACAGGGCCTCGGTTTATACGTTTTCATCTGAACGACTTGTCTCCACCCCCACCGTGTGTTCATACCGGCGAAGGAAAGATTGACTCCTTACATCGAGGCTCAGAGCTCTAACATGTGCGCCACGACTGAAACACAACGTCTGTGGTCGGCTCTGAAATCCAGCAGAAAAATAAAGATAAAGCTTGCAGTGAAAAAAGCCACTTAAAGGGGTTGGCGGTTGTGGCCATTTTCAGACTATTTTGACCTTTAGAAGAAGAGTTCTTAATATAGATACACAAAAATGATCAAATTTTAAAGCTTAAATGTATGAAATGTTTCTTTGCCAAAAGATTGTTGACAGCTTACGATATCATATGTAAAAAAATATTTATATCTGGTGATTAATTTGTTGACCCGCAGCCTCCTAATCCAACTACAGTGTTGAGAAAACTACCCTTGTTAGTATTTTACAAAGCATGCACTTAGTGTAACTCAGTGTAACTTTTCAAATATTCTCAACGTCTGTTTAAATGAAGTTTTCTTAGTGGTAATACAATAAATATACTCTTTATATAATTAAAGATACATACTAAAATGTTGAAGCCTCAATTACTTTCAGACACTTTATTCACAAGTGTAATATGAGTTTTCTTGATCAAAGAACA